AACAAAAACCAACAGATCATATTTTTTGAAAAAAATTATTTTTCATCACATGTACTCGTGTTATTTTTGAGAGAGCAAATTATGAAGAATCGACAAGTACGGCCATCCTCTAGGGTGTTGCCTCAATATTTAACAACACAAACTTTAACGCATTGGAGGTTATTCTATATGTGCTCTTAAATCTGATAATTCAATTATGTGAACTGTGGTTACATACATCTTTTATAATGAGTACTCCATTTTTCAATAAATGTCAGCATAACGAAACATGAAATATTCAGTTAAAAGTCATAATTAAGAAGTATGATAATTGTAGAGAAAAGATTTGTTCGTGTTATTGTTAAGTGGTCTAAAATTTTTATTACTAATCAATTCACCAACTGTTGTGGATTTCGTTTATAACCATATATTTAACTAATTTGATCATAGAGTTTAACCAAACTCGGTGTATCTATGGTACAACAAATAGTTATTGGTTATGGTTTCACTGTTGAGCAATTCAACTACATGAATTGAGATAAAGCATGTTTTTCTATTCTTTCTAGCTGTTTGAGCACGTTTGCTTATGTCCATATATATATATATATATATATATATATATATATATATATATATATATATATATATATATATATAAAGTTGAGATCTCACAGCAACAAGTGTAAATTATTGAAGTTTATAAGCCCAAGTTAAAATTTATCAAAAACTCAACGTTATCATGTTATATTTTCAACTAATTATGACATCATTTGTTTGAATTTATTTTTATTATGGTTAAGATGGGTTAATGAGTAGCATTGATAAGCAAAACAGAAGGGGAGAGGGTGGAAACTGATATACATAGACCGGGCGACAAAATATATAGTATATTTCGATTAAATAGAATTATCTACTTTTGTTGATTATGTTCTCTCGCCTATCTTTTCTACTCAATAAGACGTGAGTATATTATTCGAATTGGTTACTAGCTACGCATACAAACATACGTACATATATGTATACAATATAAATGACACAGTTGAATCATTTTAACTCTTAGTCAAAGTGAATAAATTTACTTCGTCTTCTTTTCAGTCCACATCGGAGTTTTCATGCAATAACAATAAGAATAATCACTGTAGTTATAATGATGATAAAATTATTATTACTTTTTATTAGTGCGTTTATGTTTACAATGGCTAGTTAAGTGGACTGACCACAGCACTTTTCTGTGTGTGTGTGTGCGTCATGCATGCATGCGAGAGAGAGAGAGAGACAGACAGACAGAAACCGATAGGAGAAAAATGAGAAAATAAGCACGTTCTTAGGATTATTTATACACGTAGTATGTATTTAGAGAATATTAAGAAAATATTTGCGTTTTGCCTAAACAGTTTATTGTTCATAACAAAAACGCATCTATAAATGAAAAGCTTACTATGAATTAATTAATTCATATATTGTGATATGTAAATAAATAATATTTATAACTAAACAGTGGAATTGAATAAGGAATGAAATAAACACTTAAATGAATACGGTTTGTATCAAATACAATGGTATTTGTAATCCTGAGAAGTTATAATATAAGATAAATATAGACCCAATAATCATGGAATGAACTAGAAACCAATATGTGATAAGTTCATCATTTTGCACTGCAGTAACACCATAATTGATTTGTTCTATTACGATGGTTTAATTTTTTATTAAAACACAGAATAATATGATGAGAATTATCTGAATATTGGAACTGGAACAGCAAAGTTCACACAGACTGGATTATTAAATAAAACTAATTGAATGAGGAGATATGTAAGAAATGTTTAATGTTGGAGATAGTTTTTATTGTTATTATTATAATCATGGATTAATATCAACTGGAAAAAAAGTGATTATGATGTCGGCTTTGTTTGAATTTAAGACACAATGTCGTTCACCCAACACCTCAGTAGGAATCAAACCCATTATGTTTAAGGTATGTAACGAGCAACTGTAAAATGTAGACCACTGAAATTCTTTGTAACGGTTGCATGGGATTATACTGTCCGAGACACTTGGAGGTCCCTGGTTTAAATCAATATTACGGTTGTGAGTATATAATTTTGAGGCGTTCAAAACTAGAATAAAGTAGTTGTCTAATGTTCTTTGGTTTATAATAGTTATCTACTTAAATTTATTTCATGGTGTAAACTACATTGGTACAAAACTCAATTAAGCATCCTATTAGTCATTTAGTCCTGCACCGAAGTAGGTTTTAACACATTTTTAAATTTCAAGTTATTTATGACTCAAGTTTACTTTCATTATAAATTAATACTAATTACTCAGGTCACTTGAAAAAGTTGATCCAAATCGTATCTGAATATTAAATGAGAAAATAATTGTAGTTAGAGGATTCATTGAAACTGATATCTTACATTTACAAACTGGCGAATTGAGACGCTCAGAGATGCAGCTATATTGTTAGCGCATCGTGTTGATTATTTAAAAGTTGCGTCTTACAATCCAATAGATAACTATGTTTCAATTCAGTATTATGAAGTGAATTTATGTATACAGGACAAAAAGGAATATACATTGAGTGACAACTAGGTCTGATCCACCTCGATTACAATAGGATTAATATTTTAAACAAACGGGCAATAAATCAAAGTAATGGACAATAATAATTTCGTTTGTTTTTTAATGAAATGTATGGGGAGGACAAAATTGTACACTATAATCTCGTTTAGAACCATGCATTGTTCTATTGTATAATCACAAGATACTGCACAAGGAATTAATGAGGTTTTTTTATTTTTCACTTAAAGGAAATAACAGTTTCATTTTATATGTACAAAGAGATCCATTGAATTCTTTTCATCTGATGAAAGGGTGTAATTTCGTTGTTAACTAACTGAAAAACTAAAAATTTATGACTTTATACATGGGTACATTGTTTATATTGTATGAAATATGACCAGCTGACTGACAAAAGATTTCATAATGTAGACCGAATATTTAAAGAGACTTGATCCAATGAGTCATAATCTCAAAACGAATATGTAATAAATTGGATATAAACGTATGTATCGATGACATACCATAAATGCAATCAAATGCTTTAGGGTTATATTATTCATCTTACTATTATTATTCCTATTATTATTAGTGGTAGTGGTATCATCTACAGTACACCTTATACTCATTAAAGTGATATTTTTCTGGTAACCTTTTCAAAAAGAATGGCACATTTGATTAATGACAACTGAAGTAGCAATAAAATAATAATTTAGTTAATGGGAATTCCAGATAGTAAAATGTGTTTATTACCGAAGTCAGAGTGTAATTGATTTGGTGGTATATGTGTTCACCTCATTGTTAACCTGTTGAAAGTAATAAGCATAAATGAATCGCTTACAATAATAATAAGGTCCACCAAAAATGCATTCTTTTCGCCTTCCTTTCACGTCAATAAAATTCTGTGAACGATGCTTTATTGAACTATCATGAGAGTAATGAATAAGACTGAAGACAACGATTAAAAAAACGTAATAAAACTGCAAACCACTAGCTATTTGAACCTGCTTCCACACTATCCTGATGATAGTGTATTGGACATTATCCTAACGTAAGCTCAAGATTTTGAAATCCTCGTACATGCATCCTGGAACTGAATAATTGTATCAAAAGCACTAGAGTTTGTATTGATCAACAACCAACAGAATCAAGCTGCCACGGAGAAATATACAGAGGAAAATCCAGAAGAATATAGATCTGGATGAGTGACTTGAAATTAAATAATTAGGCTCTTAAGTGGATGTATTCTTGTTTCGGAAATCATACCGAAACCCTCGTCATTAAAATCTGCAGTATTTTTTTAATTTGTCGTAAACTACCAACTGCACAGTGAAATAAATCATAACTATCTTAGCAATTCATCAAAAAAAAGTTCACTATTACTTATAAACTAAAAAGATTATTCAGTAGTCTCTTCAAAAAGTTGATACTTGGTTATTTCTAGTTTCGAAGGTTATTTAAGTAATTTCATGCGATTGGTGGAAACAGTATCCATATATATTTGTACTATGATAGATGCAATCGACTCAGTCGATTTACTATTAGATGATGATGCTTGACCCTGAAAAAGATAGGTGAATTTTTATTCAAGTAAATAAAAAATCCCTACAATTAACGAAATGATGTCGGTAACGAAATCTATTCACGCATTAAAGTAATATGTAAGCAATTTTCAACTTGTAGAATCCAACTAATTACTGTTTTGCTTCATTGTTTCAATATATTCATGTAGTTTATTGTATTTCGAATTGTAGGTTTTGGCGATAACTGGAACTATTCTCATGCACTATCAAACCACGTAATAGAGAGAGAGTTGGCTCCAAACATATTTAAAGTGAGAACAATTTAAAATTACCATTTAAAAAAAAATGAATTGTTACTGTTAAAAGGAGAATATACTTTTATGGTTTGTTATTAGATAAAAGGTTATTGTTGTAATTCATTTTTGAAGTTGGTCAATTAAAAACAACCATAATTTTACTATCCATTTAAGTGCTTTTATTTTCGTTTCTGCCTGATTTCTTATAAATGTTTAGCAAAATATTCTACCATATTCTCTTGGATACAATCTGTATACTCTCTGTTTAACTGGAACGATAGATCGAGGGATAGATGAGTATTGATAAATCCTTTAATCTGCAAGTCTATGTAATTTTCAGCTATGTATATAAAATAATAACTGAACCCAAACTGGAAACATCTAGTATGTGGGATGCATATTTATACTATTAGACAGTTTGTGTAAATATGAGCCATACTGATTCAAAATGTCTTTTCATATTTGAACTAATCACATCTGGGTGTTAAAAGCTAAGAATTAGCACCAAGAAATTAAGATGTTGAAGAGTGTAGTCAGAGATGTTTTTAAACTGTTTGAATCCTAATAGTTTTACCATGTCTATTTCTAGTCTGCTCACTTAGAAACATTTGTTTTTTTTAAAAAAAATTTTCTTTAGTCAATGGATGGTTTCATTTTCATTGTTTCGCTAGAAGGGAGAATTCTGTACATATCGGAAACAGCTTCTGTTCTACTGGGTTTGTCTCAGGTAATTTTAAGTCAATATTAATTGTAATTTAAATCCGATATCTCCTGCCCCCGAAAACACTAGACACTTGAGACAATAAAATCCACTGATTTCTTACATACTCTTAATCTGTCAAAGGAAACATCTATACTATACTCTAGAAAGATTTCCTGATAATTGAAGTGTCTTTTTTTTCTAGTTAATATTGTTGACGAATAAAAAAGGACGTAATGATTCTCTTTGAAAATACTGGTATCCTTTTTCGAGTAAACATGGACTTTCACTAGTATTTATTCGGTAATAATTATGATATTGTTACATTTTTCCAATCCGCTTAATATCTAAATTAAAACTAAGTGTAGTAACCTAATTTGTTTATCAACTATTTAAAATTGATCTAATCAGTTTATTACACTTGATCAAAGACTGGTTATGATGTCTAATTAAACACACATAGCTGATTGAAAAGTTCTTTACGATGAGTTAACTGAAGCACGCCCAGTTCAATCTACATAATATTCAACAATTATTCATAAAGTGTACGGAATTAGAACCAAAAGGAAGTTTAGTACTTCTTGGATTCAACTAGCCATTGAAGTGATACCTATCAGGTATCAAAATATGGATCATGAGTGTATTTCCATATTCATTCTTTACTCATTGAATATTAGATGATCCTATTTCATTTTTTCTTATTGTATAAATAAAACTATTTAAAAATGATTCGTTCTGGGTTCAAATAGATGATTTGTTTAACTGATTAAATATGTACACATTGAAAATATTAATTTGGAAAGTCTTCATAATTCTTTTGGTAACCCACATGTAGACTGAGTTAATCTAAGCTACTGACTTGTACTCAGTTAGTATTTACTGAAAATCTATCTCACAATTTACTTACATATTTTTGCAACCTTTTAATACACAATAACGGACATTTTCATTTATTAATGTATTCAAAGGTTGAAATGACTGGAAATGAAATGACTGAATATTTGCATCCATTGGATCATGATGAACTGAAACAGATACTTACTGTTCATCCATCAGAAATAGCTGCTAATTCTGGTCAGTCAGGTAAGTGCGCAGTACTCAGGTGTTTATTACAAATATAATGAATGTATGCAGTTTCGGTTAGTAACAACAATGACTGGATTCAGTAATTGGGTAATGGACTTTATTGTTCATACAGTGTAGTAAGAAATGTAGTAAAGGTGCCTCGAGTGTATTTTTAGCCAAATTAGTATTGAAGAAAAGTTACCATAATCAAATCAACCACATTAATATGTTTACTATTGACATTGTTATCAGTAATGTTAAAAAGTACTCTCGATACTATCATGGCTGACTAATTTCAAAGCAATCTTGGGATAATGTTAAAAAGATAATTAATTAATTCCTTACAAGCAAAACTGAACATGCTAAAGAACGTTTCTTTCAATGGTTTTAAGTATGGTTTAGAGTGAGCTTCTCCAAAAGAATGAACGATTTTAATACGTGTTGGATATTGTAACATCATTCCATTTAGCCTCCGATAAATTTCGTATGCTTCAGATAAAACGTTTAGCCCATCATAAACTGTTTCCTAGAGTTATGTATTTAAACGAAGTTTCTGATGGCGGCGGAAATACAGTTTGAGATTGATGTTTCGCAAAATTGTGTTGAATATGTTCCCACTGTGACAATGATGTGAGTAAAGCTTTTGAGACGTAAAAAGAATATTCATCCCCATAAAGATAGTTATACTTGAATCGTCCACCGATTCAGTTTTGGGACAGATATGAACAATAAATACAAGATAAGACTGAAAGGAGGTAGGGGAAGCCTGAACACCAATTAGAAAGTCACTTAACAATAAGTTGATAGTATGTTTTTAAACTGCGTACATTTATTTCATTCAGCCGAAAATGACATTGGAACATACTCATTTCAATTTATTTCAGTAGTTTGAAATCTCGTATTTTATTAATGTTTTAACTAAGTTATAAAAATACCTATGGACTGGTTGATCAGTGAATGCAACCCTCCTCAACTGATACAGAGTTGAACTTAAAGTTTAAAGCAACTAGTCCCTACATGACAGCAGCTTTATTGCAGTATGACTTATCCCACTGTTCCCACGAATATTTAAACATGTTTGTACATCATGTTGAACATTGAAACATTTGTTTGTTTTCCCACACATCATTGTGAATGAGAAAAATTAATTTAATGACTTGATCTATTCTTTTTTAAAATTAATTTCCTGTAAATTTAATAATAATAACCTCAATGATGACTTAATGATGTTCAATGGTAGTCTCATTATGGTTATGTTTTGACAAGTGAAGATAAACCTCACATGAATCAGTTACGCTAATGTTCATTGATACTTCGGCAAAAATTTTTGTTTATCTGAATCTATCTGTGTGTAATTTTCTTCTACAGTTTGTTCATTTTAATACATACATTTACACAGAGAAACAAATGTACAGTCATACACACGAACACATGTAAGCAGATAGGTGAATATTGATGAATTGTTGCACGGAGAAATTTCCCTTCTGTAAATGGCTTCTGTTTTTGTTTTGAAATAAGCGAGAACAAGAGGACATTTACTATCTTTTTTTTCTCGACCACCTCCTCTCTTCTTCACTCATTGTTTTCTTCTTCTATCATGTTATCTTTACAACCACTCCCCTCTATGTATCTTTAACGTTGTGTCCCCTCAGTTTATCATTATTATTGCAGGTTATTACATCTTTATATAAACACATAATAAGTTGAACAAATGGTATAATATATTTACACAGCTGGATTCACAGTATCTAAATTATTTGATGTAGACACAATTTATAATTCATTCTTAATCTTTCCTTAATATGTTCACTTTCATGTTGTAAGTTAATCATGAACTTCAGATAATTTACGCCACTACCACCACTCTTATTATGGTCACCGCCATGATAAGTGCTGCTATTCTCAAACGCTTTTCAAAAGTGTAGTATCTATTTTTTTTGTTTTCTTACCCTTTTTTATCTCTTCATTTTTATCCGATACGAATAATTAATCAGCAATGTTTTCTTTTTTCTTTTTCTACCGAAAAATAAACGGTTAAAAATCGTTTTGAAAAATAGATTTATTCGTTGAAATCGAGTGAGGAAAGCGGAGAATACAGATAGGTAGATAGGTAGAATTTAAGAGTATGAATGGACGTTGTTGTTATTATTCCGTCGATCAAAGGAAGAATATATATATAAGTGTAAAGAAATAGGTAAACATAAAAACAAGAAAATCTCTTGAATATATTTCCTCACTCTTCCTATTTAGCTAATCTTACTTTTTATTATTCTCTCTCTTCATTCTTTCAAGTGTAATCCTACGTGACTTTCAGTGTGAAATGTTGTTTTGTTATTTATTTCTTGTTATTACGGTTTTCAGTATGACAATTGACTTGTGAAGTGAATATTATCACCAGTTAAGCTAATATCTATTGATAAATAACTAACTATATGTGATTAAACTAAATACTAACTTGAATTGACATAGATCTTTTGCTTTGAATCAGGTTATCATTTAACAGAGGTTAATTTGTATACAGTTAAAAGTCTACTTAAATGAGAGAAAAAAATAAGAGAAGTCTTGAAATTAACCGATAAGATTAAGAATTTGTTGATGGTTGCTTACAATATTAAGGATACTAAATTTCGTATCTGTATTCCTGGAGAAAATTAATGTTACTTTGTGATTATCAGTTAACCTTCGACTGGAACTGGGATGCTTCAGTTGAATTTAAATATCTACGTATGATTAATTACCGAACATTTTTGTCATGGAAAGATGATAAGTAAAAAAGACACACGAACCTTCTATTGATGTTTTTCCCTCTCTTCATACCAGTATTGCACACTTAACTGACTGAATAACATCATATAAACTCACAGTCGAATTAAAGTCAACACTTGCTTTCTTACTTACTTCATCAAGTTCTTCATGTGACCTTTAGGTTAGGGGATTCGATATTATATGTCTCTATATTTCTGTACAAAATTGTTGCAGATAGTTTATGAGGAAACCTACATTGCGATTTTATGAGGTTGGTACTAATCAAAAAAGGGTATCTACAATTTACAAGGGTATGGTGCTCTATACTGTAAGGATTCAAACCCATATAACCCAATGTCGTAAACAAAGGCGATATCGTATTATTATCATTATTACTAAAAAAAATTCCCGTTTATTTAAAGTCCTCATTGGTTTGATAACTAAATTGTTATTCGTATTTATTTATTTCATCACATCCAGAGTTCACACTTGAACGCAGCTTTTTCTTACGTGTAAAGTGTGTCTTAGCCAAAAGGAATGCTGGATTAACTACAGCTGGTTTCAAAGTAAGTTTTTGTACAAAAGATTCATTTGGTTTTGTAGTTCAATTATTTTTGAGGAAGTGGATAGTTTTAGTAAGTCCAGATTAGTCATTTGTATAGAAACAAAATAATAATAAAGTATTCATGTGCAAACAGATAATAGTGGAAATAGGTTAAGCTGTGTGTAGACTAACGAGAATTCATAAACAACTAGTGGATTTACAAAAAAAACTTTTCGAATGTGCCCTCTTTTTTGTAAAATGATGTATACACACAATGATTTGGGTATAACAGCACACTGAGTTCTTAAAAAAAGAGAAAAAAACAGTTATTCAATATTCACTTGAAAGTAGCTGTGAAACGAATAAATTTAAACGCAAACAGAAAAAAGGGATACATTTTAAACAATTAACCGAAAGTAATGATAATTTTTGTTTCTAACATTTCTCAGTTAAATAGGTTTGGTTGATGACTGAAAGTTTTAAGGGTACAAAGTGAACCGATTTCTTTAACAACGATAAAATTTTATATTAATTATGATACATATGCAACAACAGTGTTTATAAGTAGTATCCATGAATCTTAGATCCCCTGAAAATTTCTAGAAATTGTATCATGAAAATAATTCATTCTCTTTTGCTTCAAAATATAAATAATTTACTTTTACTGCTGATTCACTGGTGTCAATTTAATCATTTTGTACTTTCCTTTCGGTTTATTAATCAGTAATTTAATTTTATGCTGGTAAATATTTGAGCTTAGTTAAGACTAGTTTTATTCATGAATCGATGTCAACTAGAGAGTATTGAAAACCAAGGAACATTGGATAGGTGTTTTATTTCTAACTTCAGATTTATCAGTAATATGGGAAACGGATTCCAACTGGAGTATCTAAAATCGTCTAACCGGCAGTAAAACCTGTTGATCCTTGGTAAAATCTCTGACACTGTCGTTGATGGATACTTCTGAAAAGTCCCAAATAAGAACGAAATAACTAACCACTGCCCTCTGGATTTTAATGGTATCACCAGAGAATAATTTAAAGACTTTAATCTCATTTACTTTTTTTTAGATTTCAATATTAGTATTATCATTTTGCCTTCTTTTTATTAATTATTAGGTAATACACTGTAATGGACATTTACGTGTTCGTGTTATTCACCTAGATGGATATCAGTATTACCAAAATTTAGGCTTAATATCATTCGCCTATGCAATTCCTTCACCGAATACAAATAATACAGAAATACGCTTAAGTATGGATATGTTCATGTTCCGTGCCAGTTTAGATTTAAAATTAATCTTTTTGGAAGGCAGGTAGGTAAAAAACAAATGTAAAATTAGCAACTATTTTTAACTTTCTATCCTGTTTCATCACACTTTAAAATAACTAATAATTGGTAAGTACTTAATGAACGGTATTAGGTTATATTACAGTTTGATTATCAAAGCCTACAGATTATTCAATTGGAAATATGGTCAACAATTAAAGTGGCTTATTAGTAGGACAAAATTAACTGGGCGAATGTTGCTTGGCTGTGTAGTCTTTGTTGGACAAAGACATTTAAAGAAAATCATGTCCGCGGATCACTTCATTAAACCAACTAAAAAAAGCCTTTGAAACTATATGGACAGCTAATACTTGCAGTGATGTGAATGATACTGAAACATAAATCGTCCCCAAAACAACCTAATTTATAGTAAATAAGTTTGGTAGTGACGCTTTTATCATCATCGTCATCTGCTGTTGTTGTTTTAACAGCCAGTTTAAATCACTCAATTTGTATACAGTCACTTTCCATATGCATGTTGCAAACAAAACGAAATATTCCATTAAATGCATATTACTTAGTAATACTACGTAAACGACAGTTCTGCGTAAACTGAATAGTTCGTACGGAAAAAAGACATCACTAAGTAGAAAATGTAAATGTAGATAATGAATTGTAAAGTGAATACTGTGTGTGTGCTTGATATGAATTTGCGACTATCATAATTCTGGGCATTATGGGCAATTCATCCATTTGATGAATAAAGATATGAGATGTATGATGTATCAAACTATATATATATATATATATATATATATATATTACAAAATACATTTATTCATTATAATTTATACGCACACAAAAGCAATATCAAAAGACGTGGTTATTGTGAAATATCACGATCTCCACAAATCCCCACACTAATACCAGCCATGTGTTCATTGGTGACTGGCTTTAAGATGTAACTCCTGGTGTTCTAGTGAGAAAACGTAACCACTGGGGTCCAACCGTGTCGGGTGTGAGACAGCTATTTACACAAGACAATGGATGAAGGGTTGAGCAAGATCATCGGTTGACTGAAATTCGGCATTAACAACGTCGGAACCTAACTAAGTAGTCTAGAGGTTGGGTGCTCGCGCCCGAAACCGAAGGTCACGCGATCAAGTCCCGCATGTGGTTTCATGGATGCGCAATTCTGAGTGTTCCGTGCTAAGGCGAAACGGCTGATCAGTGCTTCTAGGTTCTCAATGGTGGCCCAGCTTAGGCAGTGAGAATATTCAACTGATATGCACAATCATTCATAGTTAATTACTTTTTTGCCAATGAAATGGCCTTTGTCGATATTCTAAGCGTGTTAAGCCTTAAGATACATCAAAAAGATTATTTGGACTCCTTTCAGCAATATTTGCGCAAAAGCGACAAAACTATTCACACCACAACTCTTCCTACTTATACTATAGTTAATTTATACTTGATTTGAGTTTTGAGCCTCAACCTTCACTAGTTATTAATAGTCATGTATGCATACTTTTGTGTACAAAAGTACATTGCCTTAACAACATAAAAAAATATATTTTATCTATTTAAACTGATCTAAATTACACATTTTCCATTGTCACAGGTTACTATTATTATTCTTTACCATCTTTTCTCTTTTGTCGGATGAAGAATTTCTCAAATAACCGGTTTTCAACCACAAGAACTGGTGGATAAAACACTTTATCAGTTGGTACACACAGCAGATGTTGGATCCTTAAGACATTCTCATGAAATACGTAAGTTAGAATTGTTGGTTAATTTTTTTATGACTGCAGTGTAAAGAATAAAACTTCGGTTATATACAGTATTTCCAGTTTTGAAAAAAGTCACACAATATTCACAATCGGTATTCAGTATTTAAAAGGAACAAGTTTTGTCTTACAAGTTGATTGGAAATTGAACTACTTTTTAGTTAAAGTTTCCATTCAGACATGTAATAAGAAAGTGAATAGGTCGAAGAAATTTATTTTTCGATTTGAAACTCTCATATCAATAATTCTTAGTTGGGGCGCTGATCTTTCATATGAATACTTTTGTATTTAATTATAGTTTTAAATAAAGGTCAAGTTACAACACCATATTATCGTCTGCTGAATAAATCTGGAGGTTGGGTGTGGATACAATCGTATGCAACCATAATTCACAACAGTAGATCCTCAAGACCAAACTGTATTGTCAGCGTGAATTATCTTCTATCGTAAGTATTCCTTTTTGTTTGTATTGAGATAATTTCAGTTGTCTGTCTGTTTTAGCTCAATTTGTTGATTTCCTAATGACTATGTCAGTGACTAGTTTGAATCTATAGGGTTTAGTAAGAAAAACCTTGATCTCCAGAAAAAATAGAATAAGATATACTAAACGGAGATAAACTGTAATCAACAAATGTACTCATAATGTTCTTGTTAGTAGATGTGGAAAGGAAACAGATGAATGCTTAGATTAGAATCCCATTTGATATTTCCATGATATACTTATTAGTAGGCTCTGAAATAAGGTAAGAAATTACAATTTTAGATAACTTGGGATTTTAATTTTTTGAATACATAGTATCTATAAGCATTTTGACGCTGATTGATTTAAATTCAAATTATAAGTGATGTGGTGGATTCTTACGATATGTGAACTATTATATGCTCCGGAGAAATTGGAACAGGCCGCAGACCAACTCTCATGCCGACTAGTACGTTTAGCTGTACGGTAGACTTAAAATTAAAAAAAGTCATTTACTGTGGTTTCAAATCATATGGTTCACTGACAAAGCAAATGTACCATCGAATTATTGAAATGACCAAGTGCGATCAGAGGAAATGAAAAACAGAGACCTATGTTATCCTGTTGTCTCTAGTGGTAATTGAAATCTATAAAATGATCAAGAAGCCAGCTAACATTCGATGGTTATCTTTAGATGGTAACGAATACGATAACTATAATAATGGTTCCCCAGGGTTTGGAAATTGATTATCAGCAATTTTTTGACTGGTTAAATTTAAGACATCTTGTGTAAATCGTCACTAGTGTTATTCAAAAGTGAAATGTGCTGTTTAATAAATGGTAGTTAATACTTAACTATATCTTGAACTACTGAAATGTATTGAATCATACTAGATAGAATGGACGCATTTCAGCATTTGATTTATGAATCGGTTATTGACAAACTGGTAAGATAATGATTTCAGGAATAAATCAGATTTGTAATTTAAAAACGACCCAGTACCCAAACTCAGTGGTTCGATAAACAGATAGGTCAAGAATATGAACCGGCGATATATTCCAATATATGGTGTAAGATATCGAATCCTCTTTACGTCCTGTGACTGGACGACTAATTCTGCTTATCAACGAAGACTAACACTTTATTTTGAGATGATGGATTAGATTTGTAGCTCAGGTAGATGATTTTGGTGAAATTTCATTGTTATTCTGCATAACATCACTAGCAAAAATCCATATGCATGTGAGCTATTCAAATTTCTTTACACATGACTGACAGCCTGTTCTATCAAACAAGCAGATAAGCAAACTATGACAAGATAAGCATTACCAAAAACCAATCAAGACCAATGTCCACAGAGCAGGCTATCAGTCATATGTGAAGAAAGTTGAGTGGTTCACTTCTATCTAAAGTTTGTGCTAATGATGTTATTCAGAAGGAAAATGAAGGCTTCAAGATCAAACCACCAAGCTGAGAAAATAAATTCCAACAACAATTTTTGATACATATGCGGTAGCGCAACGATTAACAGGAGTTTCTAATGTCATGTTTCCCATGAATTTACTAAAACAATGATTAATTTTTGACAGAGTAACTGAAAAACTCGGATTATTGTTTATGTTGGAATAGGAAATAATGTTTTTTGCATCAGATTTTCACTGCCATCTTAACAGAAACAAATAGTGACCGGTAAAAATGTCATTTCACAAGTCAGTTGCAAAATTCAGATAAAAAGGCGTTTAATTTTCATCAGAACTAAAATGTATAGTCAGAAGTAAATTTATTTTTGCCAAAATCATAGTTTTATGTTCTACATACGAAACATAATTATTAATATTTGCGATAAACAAATAAATATATCAGAAGGGGTTTTATGGATACTATAATAATTTCAATAGTTGAGATCATGAGTCGATTGAAGCCAGACCACCATGGAAAACCTGGAAGCACTGGAAGGCCGTTTCGTCCTATTACGGGTCTCCTCAGCAATGCACACCCACGATTCCGCCTCGCCTGATTTGAACCCAGAAGTTATCGGTCTCGTGCACGAACGCTTAACCTCTAGACCACTGAGCTGGTATTCAATGGTATTAATGTCTAACTTCAACTAAATATATAATAATTCATTATGTTTACACTAATAAATTCATCCAAACTTTCCTTTTTTCTAACTATTAGTGAAATTGAATGTCGCGAATATTGTCTATTAAATGATCCTCTAGTATATGAAGATATCGTTAATCAGCACCAACAAACAAAAACGAATCATTTGCTGACTACTACACCACCACCTCCATCGTCAAAATTATCAAACAAAACTAACGTTAATTATGTCAACGATTCAAAACATAAAATGAGTGAATACTTTCACAATGAGTATGCAATGAGAATTCCCTACAGAGAACATGATGATCTTGCACATAAACGTATACGCCGATGTAATACTGACAGCAATCAACATCAAGAGGTTATTGGTATTAGTGTAGTTACTAATGATGGTAATATTCATGATACTAAACAAAATTCCTTGTTGAAATCTGATATTGTGTCAACTCATTCAACAAATGTCATAGAACGTTATTTTGATAGTCAGAATCAACAGAGTTTGAAGTCTACGCTTTCTACAGATGCGTCTCAACCTTCGTACGACTTATGGGCAACTGAACTGCACAAACAACAAGAATATTCAGACCAGAAACATGCTACAGTTTATCCGAAGAAAATAAATAAACTATTAAATTGTACAAGTTCCAACTATTCAATGTACAGTGAATGCTCCAAGGAGAATGACAATTATCAGTCACTTCTACAATGGTCTCATGTGAATTTTGATTCAGACAATCGCTCACATTATCAAAATCGTCATGACCGCCAAAATGAATCACACTTGTTATTTAATAATTTTGCAATTACTCCCGGAGATAGACGAGAAGCAGGGATAGTACCATTGCCCACACACTCGGAAATGACAACGAAGTTAGATGATGTAAATTTTCCCCGTGAAAAGTTAAATATGACTCAACAAAATAATCATGACATAAAAACAGAGTCTATGAAAAACTTCAGCGAAACAAGTGAGACAGTATTTCGGAATGACAAAGTTCCAATGGTAAATGATTTAGGGCAATCGGATTATCAAAAAGATGTAATGGTTGTAGTACAGGAGGAAGAAGACGTTGATGGAGAAGAAGAAGAAGAAGAAGAGGAAGAAGAAGAAGAATACAATGATGATGAAGATGATGAAAATGAGGGTGAACAAGATGACAACGATTGAGAATTTATCCATCACACTTTTTTTCAGTTAACTGTAGCAGACTAGTTATTTGTGTAGCATCTTTTATCCCATATGCACAGTTTATGTCAAAGTTAAAGTAGTCCTATTATGATAACTGTCACAAACAGTTCATGTTTCAGAAAATAACAATTGATTTCCTGGCATCTATAAACAAATACTGATTTCGAAATGATACACTAATTTTATTATTCTTTCAAAAGAAAACCGCTACTGCGCCAAATATTCTACCATATCCTAACACTGAATTAGTCCGTTTCATTATTTAAAAAAAAACAACTCTGTGATCTTGGATGTTCCATGGATGAGAACATAATTTTTATAGGAAAATATATCCCCCATTCAGTATATAAACAAAATATTTATTGTTATTATTAAGTATGATCAGTTTATGGCTCTCTGACAAAAGTAAACAAGATTAATAATTATAATTTAACATAATAGTTGGTTAACTTTCAGCTACATTCTTGTTATTCTGTAATTTATTTCCATGGTTCATTGATTTTCATAAGTGAATGTAAATGCATGTTATTACACAGACACTTTCAATGATTAATTTATATGATAAAACAAATGAACAAACAATACGATACTACTTTTATCGATTTTATTATTATTCGCCAACATAATGCGTTTTGTTTTTCCTTCGAATTCATTTTATTTAGTTAGTCATAGAAACAATTAGTATTTTACAGAATATCACAAAAATCTTTTCCTTTTTTTTGTTGCTTTCTTAATAGTCCCTCGACTGGTTTGAATTGGATTCTTTTTTATTAATACGATGTATCCCAACTTCATGATAAACCATAATTAATTAGGGGTGAACATAATCATTAGTCACTGAATATTTGAATAGGGAAAATGATTTTCATTCAAAACTTATTCTGTTGATAATTGGTAGTGTGATTGTTTAGAGTTTTGTATGAGCGTTGTTCGAAGTGTCCCAAGATAACAGAAAACTGTTGTGTAATAGTTTGGTCGGAAATCTTATAAATGAGCTTACTTTCCTACTAATAAATATATGCGAATAATAGGTCTTATTACTTGCTGACAATAAAATATAAACTTCATGAATAAAAATACCCAATTCATAAGACACAACTTAACCAGGATAAAATACAACTAACTAACTGGAAATAACGAAAACAAATGGAAGTATTATTAAGATCAATGAATGGATGAATTTTTACTAATTCGTTGATAAGCAATAGAATAAAACCGGACTTTATATCTGTGATATGATGAACTGGTCCATAATTAAGTCACAAAGAAATTTATACACATTTTGTAGTATTACTGAAAGATTATCAGTAATTAGGAGAAATAACCATAGCTACTACTTAAAATAAATGCAATCAATGTGAAATGAAAGTTCCGATTAGATGATAAAAAGGTGTTATATTTTTAAACACAGTCTTCTAACAGTAAATCCCAAGTAGTATGTTTATCCATAAAGTAAATATAGTACGTAGAGCAGTGGTAGACAAATTACAACCTGCAGTCAAATTCTATGTGTCTCACAAGGTTACTAAGTTAGAACGGGAAATGGAAGCTTATTTGGAATTATTTTACAGAAACAACACTTTTTTATTAAAATCTTAGAAAATAGCGTTTGAAATTAAACTCGTTCTGATGTTTCAATAACTCGGGAACTTGAGTTTGCTCATTTGTCAATATTACGAGGGAAAAAAGTCTGAATGGAATCTGCCCAATACTACAATAACAATAATTCAGCGTTTACAAATGAATTTTAACTGAGTTTGCAGGATTTTGAAGTATTCCGACAACAAATTTAAGTTGTTGATTGCTTTATTTTCTTTAGACATCAAAATAACACTGTTAGCACCGACAACATCCTAGACAGATTAGTGTTTCATTAACGAGTGATACATATTAGCATTTAAATTAAAAACAATTCGGTCTTTTGTTTATGCTCTTCAACAGTATTCATTTGTATTCATGTGGTCTTTTCATGAAGGTATCTCAAATGATGACCTAAAGCGTAATTTGAACAATTGTCACTTTCCAAACATTGTTTGTAGATAAATTAACTTATTACATTTTTACATCATAGAACCTGTTTTAGACAACAGAACAACTAAACGAAAGATTATTAAGTTATTCATTTACGCTGAAATTTATTTCGAAATATTCATTTAATTGTTCCAATTTTGCTGATAACAAAAAACTAGTTAAATCTGTTTTATTTATGACATATAGCAGTTAATGACAATATCACTAGAGCTAGAAAATAAAGTAACATTCACTGCCGAAAAATAACATTTATTGACGGGTTTCATGTAGATTTTATGTGTTAAAAATAGTTTCTTGACGGATTAAGATTAATTAGAGAAGTTATACATTAACACTTTTGGGTGTCTGCTCAGTGGTAGAGAGCTTAGGCGTTCCCGTGAAAGACCAAAGGTCATGGGTTCGAATCCCATGAGAATGGTCGTGGATGCATACTGCTGAGGAGTCCCGTACTGGTACGGGACGGCCGTACAGTGTTTCGGGTTTGCCTTGGTAGTCTAACTTCAATCGACTCATGCATTTAACTATTAATTAGAGAATCATTGAAAATCAGCGAAGTACTGGATGGATGTCATTTATTTATTGTACAGAAATCCCCACAGAGCTACCATAAGTGTGCAGATAATCACGAGGGGAATATTTCAATTCTTTTCGACTATGTATTATGCTAATAGAGAATACTCCATCATATGATTGGATAGAATTCTTCTTTGAGTTTCTGATTTTAGTTAGAAAAGCATCTGCAAGGGATAATTGCTTATTTTTATCGCACAAAGTAGCTTCATACACTACAAGAAACAAAAAGCATTTATTTTTAATACCTCAACATATATGTAGAGGAAATTGAATGAAGCATGTATAATGGAGTTACTGCTGATTAATAGCAAAACAGTCTTCCGACGCATAAATCACACATGGACATATACTACTAGACGTAAGTAAGAATAAAAAATAAAAGGACAGGTCACACAAAATGATGAAGTCGTTAATTATTGAAAACCTTCAATTATTATTTTTATATAAATTATTTTACTTCTGGGTATTATATAATGACACTATAAATCCAAATATTGGATTCAAGGAAGAATAACCAATGTAGAAGAATCAGATATTCATTTCATTTCTCAGTTTCAACTGGGCTACTTACAACCTAAATATAAGAATACTAATCATTAAGAATAAAGTTAACTTTATATTGTAAAATATCAGAAAAACCTCCATCATCGAAAATAAACAAAAAGTGCAATCAGTGTGGAAGAGTAATGAGAAATATGCATATAACTGAATATTTATAGTAGTTGAATTCATGAGTCAATTTAAGCTAGACAACCATGGAAAACCTGAAAGCATTGAACGGCCATTTCGTTCTAGTATGGGACTTTTCAGCAGTGAGCATCAGACTTAAATCGACTCCACAAACCTCCATTCTGAGAATATTTATAAGCTAAATACTTTGAATATTTATAAGTTGAATAAACAAATATTCTAGGAGACATTAGTTAGTTTGTTACTGCCTATGTAATCTGTACTCAGCTAGTTGATTTTATTTATGTTTTAAGTATTACCCACCTATACCATGAATATTTCACTACATTTCTAAACACTTATTTCTATATTGTTAGGATCTTCAATCATATGAAAATCTGTTATAATTCACTTTCCATACTTATTGCTCTTTTCATTAATCTCCTCTAAAGAGAACTTTTCTGATATTATGATCTAAACTATTCGTACTACATTTTTAATGATTGGCTCTATTATGTTTAAGTTATAAACAGCTGACGATCAATTGGATAACATAATGAATTCATCTTAGTCTGTTGTATTCATTATTTGTGCTTTAGTCAAATTTATCAATGGGTAGAATTGTATCTAAATATTTCATAAGAGAGAAAAGAAACAATCATTTACTATATCAGTGTAGGTTATCTTTAATTATTCTAGGTTAGTCCATTTCACTAAATAATTAATCTTGAAATCAAGGATTAAGATATAGAGTAGACGACAATAAGTAACTAGTAAATCAACAATTTATCAGAAGGGGTTTTGTGGATATTATAGTAATTTTACTAGTTGAGATCATGGGTCAATTGAAGATAGACCACTATGAAAAACCTGAAAGCACTGGACGACCGTTTCGTCCTACTGTGGTTAAAGAATTGTCTTGGAAATTTTACTGATTTGGATTGTGCAAAAGTGGGAGTTTATTAAAAGGCAAATAAATGATGCAATACAATAATTGTAAATTACACTTAACCATTTCAATTCATTAATCTTTAATTTAATAATGTTAATTGAGGTTAGATTAGCTTTGTTCATTAACTAAGTGTAAAGCCTAGTTCATTCTTAGATCTAAAAAAATATGCAATGTAAAAGTGTGCAGTTAATACATAAAAAGTCATTTATGCAATACAGGAATATAATGAGTGAACTGTTAGAAGGAATTAGCATTCATCATTAGTTTAATTAAAAGTTCTTGATGAATACCCTAATGAATTATCCCTTTTGGCCTTTATTTCTCCTTTTAAGTCATTTACTGTATCAGAGAGGTTAACGAAGAATTAAAAGATTTAGGTTCATAAGTGTCTAGGAAAAACGAGAATAATTATGTTTGTTATTAGACTTAAATAGTTCCCATTATTATTTTCCCTACTAACCCTAACAACAGTGTTACTCTGTAGAAGGTATCTTCCAACTTATTTCAAATCAGTGCGGCTGACATCTCAATTTTCCGACAACTATCAGAAAATAAATTTGAAAATGAATCAATTTTGAAATTATGAACATTGAAGAATATTTTTACCTTGTATGTTTCCTAAAAAAAGAAAACTTTACATTTATTGACTAGACTTTCGGTTTCATTAATGAAAACGGATAATTACAACATTCCTGTCAAATTAAATTATATAATCTGACAGATTAATTTTACTTTTAACCAGGTAGCAAAATTTTATAACCTAGCGCTAAATGACAAGATTGAAACTTCTTATGTGTAAGTATTATGAATGTTCAATTCTATGTAAGCTTGATTGTGTCAGCCTGTCTACTGAGACATTA